CTGCACCATGTCCGCCAAGTAAGCATCATTCCCATTTGGCGATATACTATCCCATTGTAGTTAACCTACCAAAACCTTGCTTGATTCATTCTTTGTAAGTACTGGTACAAATATAATTCAAACAGACATGATATAAATGTACAGAATTTAGTGATCATGATGCTCATAATATAGTACGTCCAAGCGGCTTACACTGTGTTTGGATTTACAACAAAGCTGGTTTTAATAAATTGAACTCTCGTATATCAGGAATAAGACAGTTGCTAACACCAAACAGTATTCATGTGGTCACTGACATATGCAAAACCAAACTACTATAATTCTCAACTCAGTGTATTCCTTGTTAAACTAACAATTCGCCCAACCAATAAACCATGGTTTGACTGCCGATTAAGAAAAATTAGGAAACGGATAGAACACGCAAATCTGCTTTCAAGTGTGCTAGGGCAATCCGTTGGAACAAATTCAAATAAATCTGGAATAGAGTAAACCGAGTGGCCGAATGGTCTAAAGCGCTGTCCGTTACGGATCACTGCCATCTCACCTCTGTCTGCGTATGTTCGAGTCTAGGATTCGGCGAATGTGGATATGTGAGAAAGCTTGCCAGAAGCTTCTTGTGGGTCGGTGGTTCTTTCCGGTAATTTCCCGGTTTCTTCCTCCACCATTAATACTGGCCGCCATGAATAGCCTATCGTGTGCTGAAAAATGGCGTTAAGCACAAGAACAACGACTGCCAATTAAGAAAAATTAGGAAAGGGATAGAACACGCACATCTGCTTTCAAGTATGATAGGGCAATCCATTGGAACAAATTCAAATAAATCTGGAATAGAGTAAACATGATGAAAATGTATATGCTATAAAGCAATATATAGATAATATTGATGTGCATCTTTCATGCTTTGAAAGGAATTGCTCTTAAAACATTTTTAAAAATTACACAATCCTTTCTGAATGAAGTCTAGCCATCAAATTCTATTCCAGCACTTCTCGATACAACAGCAGAAACACTAGCAATACTTTTTAATTGATTGTTGAAGGAAAACAAATTTTCAAATAAATGGAAACTTGCTCACATTCTTCCTATTCCTAAAAAAGTGATCCACACCAGACTGCCAATTATAGACCAACCAGAATACTTAGAATTGTAGATGCATTTTTAAACGTGTATATAATTACTTTCATACAAATCATTTTTTATAAGTATCAATCAGGATTTCTTCTTGTTCACTCCATTGTTTTCTAACTTATTAAATTATAATGATTAAAATGCTGGTGTGCCGCAAGTATACATGCCTGGGCATAGACCCATAATTTAGTGGAACACTAGTAGCCATTGTCTATAGGCCCATGATTTAGTGGAACACTAGTAGCTATTGCTATTGTCTATAGGTCCATGATATAGTGGAACACTAGTAGCTATTGTCTATAGGCCAATAATTTAATGGCACATTTAATAGTCATTGTCTATAGGCCCATGATTTAATGGCACACTAGTAGTCATTGTCTATAGGCCCATGATTTAATGGCACTCTAGTAGTCATTGTCTATAGGTCGATGATATAGTGGAACACTAGTAGCTATTGTCTAAAGGCCCATAATTTAATGGCGTGAGGCCCAGTGTGACAATGCCTTAATACGGCACTGCGTATGACAGGGCAGTCAAAACTTGCATGTAACTGATAAAGAACAGTGTGTATGTGTTATATTTAGATTTTTTACTTAGCTTTAACATGCTTTCAGTCATATCATTTCGATGTTTGCAGTGTGACGTTTTATAGTCATGTCTAGCAATGGTGAATCGTGCCACAGACATGTGGCATAATGTCCCACCCAATAACATTATATTGACATCAGGCCGACCAGTTTTAAGACTAACCTATTTATTCAGAGTGCAAAGCGAGGCAGCCGTTAGTACCAATTTTTAAAAACGTCTTTGGTATGACTTGTGCAGGGTTCGAACACGCGACCTCCCGCATTGGAGGCGGACGCTCTAACCACCAGGCTACCGGAGCGGTTCAATAAAGAAGATGAAAACTAAACCTACTCTTCTTTCTTTTGAGTCAGCTTCTTCCACGAGTTTTTTTTTTATACCAAAACGGATCTGTTACGTGATAGAATTTAAATTATCATTTAGATCACACTGAATATGTCGAAGTTATTGCCTTGTACAGTTTTCATAACCTGATAGTCTTGTTTCGGTCCGAATTCCACCTTAACTGTTCCTATAGACTCCCTGGGCTGGTAAATCCAGGTCTTCTTTACTTTGACTTTCCTTTCGAAATTTGCAGGTGCCCGTCCTTTCGTTCTTTTCATCTTTGCATCCACTTTGAGTCCTTAAGACTTATTACGTAGAGCGTAGACCTCGGAGCTTTCTCAGCCCTTCCAAAATACCCCCCCCCCTAAATCTTCCGTTAAATTATACTGGGGAATATATAAATACCTCCCCCATCTCGTTAAGTCAAATAAATTCTATCATAATTTCAAACAGATTCAACGATTATCTAGTTTAACTGGCCCTGACAGAACGTAAATAATCTCGTTTCACAAACTTAATGGACAATTAAATGGCTATTCTAACACCTCTACAGATACGTTGTTAGTTCCTGGCTAGTCTCAATTACACAATTGAATTAAATTTCTTGCTTCTGTGTTTATAACAGCAAAAAAATGGTGATCATACATGAGCTCATATATAGGTCGGAGACATCACACGGATTCTCGCTTTTCAACTAAAATACGGCACGAGATTCTAAATACATAATTTCCACTAATAAACGATCTATAAGTTCAACAACTAGTCAATGTTTGTATAAAGAAACATATAATTGTATTAGTCTGATAAACGATCTCAACACATTTATACGATAAAAAGAAATTAATTTCATGAACTTAACAAATAAATTCAGGCAGATACATTGAAATAAATGATGCAACCATCATAATACTATCAATGAATTACATAATATTGTTGCAAATACCCTTTTATCCAAGCTCTTACTTCCAGAATGTGTCTGTCATTTTTCCCAGACAATTCCTTTCCCTGGGTAAATTTTAACGAGAGATTTACTCATTAAATCCTTGGAACCTTTCTTTGTATTTTCCCTAATGTATAGACAAGGTTTTGACAAGTTTTTAAAAGTTACATTTGCACATTTAAACCTAAGAGTTTGCCGTGTGCAACCACTCCCTTTTCAAAGCGTAACCAATTAGAATCATAAAACAATCCCGATTTGCCAAGTATGAAAACAATGCGATAGGTCTATCAACAAATGGCTACCGATTGGTTCCTGGTCAATGTCTCAATTGTCATCTTTCATACAAACCAAAATTTGAACTCCGTTCAGGTAAATTTAAACAAGCCAATCCATTCATTATTAATCAATAACTCTTAACTTTGGCTGAACCAATTCGTACATTATGGCTCTGTAAATGCGGCCATTCCACATAAATCTCGTTAATAGTACATGTGTTTAATTACCCCAAATAACAATAACAAACAAATATCGACCTAAAAATTTGGGCCTTTACAGTATGTATGTATGTATGTATGTATGTATGTATGTATGTATGTATGTATGTATGTATGTATGTATGTATGTATGTATGTATGTATGTATGTATGTATGTATGTATGTATGTATGTATGTATGTATGTATGTATGTATGTATGCATGTATGTATATGAAATTCGTTGCATTTTCAATCCATATATTGTCTAATATGGGATAATTAATTTCCCTATTTTAATAACTGCAGAAGTTGATGTACTTTAGATAAATTCGAGCTCATGTTTCGGGCAGATTGGACCAGCTATTGGACCAGCCATTTGTATCAGTCATCTGCTTTAAGTAGTGTATAATTTACATTATGGCCACATATTAAGTAATGTTAGTCACGGTACGAACGTGGCATAGAGGTATTCCAAAATTCTTTCCACTGTGGATGTTGTTAGTGCCAACAGCTTCACCTTATACCGGTCCCTTTCTTAAAAGTACATAGTAGCCAGAGCGGTATCTAAATGGTTGCCATCAGATTTGAAAAACAATGGAGCTTACGAACTTTGAACATCAATGAAGATCTCATGGTAACGCTAGAGGTCTTTTAAACTCATTGTTGCATTTTTTTTACAATTATAAGGCCTGTATAAATTTGTACGATTACAAGATTGTACAAATTTATACCATTATAAGGCCTGTATAAATTTGTATGATTATAAGGCTGTGTAAATTTGTACACATATAAGGCCTGTGTGAATTTGTACAATGATAAGACCTGTATAAATTTGTATGATTATAAAGCTGTGTAAATTTGTACGCATATAAGGCCTGTGTGAATTTGTACAATGATAAGGCCTGTATAAATTTGTAAGATTATAAGGCCTGTATATATTTGTACGTTTAGAAGGCATGTATATAACATATGAAAATATCAAGAGTTTGATGAACTGTTGACAAATACAGCATTGAGATTTATTGTCACGCTGAAGACAAGATGTTCATGCAAGAGACCATGGTCTGCACAAAGGCTTATATTCGCGTGTCAGCTATTTGATGCAAACCATTGTTGGAACGCGTGCGTGGGGAGTGTCAGCTTATTAGCAGATCTTTGGAACTGTTGTTCTTAGACAAAGTGTCGCAATTTAAATAACATAATTGCAGCCAACGATATTATATCGGTTTCTAGGCTGATGAGGTCTGTCCCTCACCCCTTTTACCTTCTGTTTTAGTCACAGTCGTTAAAATTTGTCCTCAACATTTTGGATAAAGTTCCATTTTTCCATGTTTTGTAAACATCTTTATACATTATAATCATACTTTGCAGGTAAGATTAATATCGTCTAACAAAAGCTAACGTTTGCAAGGTTTTTGCCGTGCACAAGTCCAAAAACTTGAGAGGAGGATGGTGCGTGTTTGTTGGTAATGCTTTATGATCATTCCTGATTTACATTTAGCTATTTCGTCACAGTACATATATCTGATCATTTATTCTGCATTCACTGCTCCAATGGCCTAGTGGTTAGTGCGTCCGCCTCAAATGTGGGAGGTCGTGGGTTCGATCCTTGGCCAAGTGATACTAGAGACTTAAGAAATGGCACTAACAATCTATTGCTAGGCGCTTATCATAAGAGGTTAGTGTTAGGACTGGTCCACCTAGTGTCAGGATAATGTGACTGGGAGGGACATCATGTTAAATATTTGCAGATTGATTCCCTCAGTACAATTTTGGCACTATAAACTGACATACTGCAGACATAGTATTAATATGACTGAAAAGTGTTAAAGATATGACTGAAAAACAACTAAAACTACGTTAAGACTCTAAATTACACACAAACACATATATAGTGTTCGCGTTTATATGAACAGCACTCTTCAAATACTTTTTTCAGCAATTTCTTTCATCTATCGATCTATCATTTCACAAATTTCACCTTGTAGTCACTGTCAAAACGGTCTTGTATTATCTCGTCAGACATAATATTACGAATATTCTATAATAAATAAAAGTTTTGCCAAGAAGGAAATGCATATTAATATTTTTACTTTCTTTAATTGAATTGTAACATCTGTACGTAATTAGCTACATCTTTATCTTGCAATGCGCAATGTTTGTGTTCCGAAAGTGCAGAGATGCAGAGATTGCCAACCCTCGTCAAAGATTGTTTTGATGTATGTCGCCGTTTTCACGGAGACTGGTTGATCACAGTTAAAAACATAATTCGTAAGATTTTTGATAGGTGTGTTTGGTCATAATAGACATTGATCTCGAACGACTGTCCGTCCGCAAATTTAGCAACATCAGCAAACTGCAATTATCATCTGTCACGAGATTATTACTGGAGACAGATAATACTTTACTCTAAGGCAAATTATTAATTAATTAATAAATTAAATGATTGAAAAAACTTCTCAAATAATTATCAGAAGATTTCTGTAATGAATGTCGCCAATTTTAAGGAGGAAGCTGTTTACGTGGAAGTGGAAGCAGACGTGAAGGTGAACACATTACTAGGGGTTGGATGGGTGGAATAAAAACAAAATCCTATAATTGATATGGAAATATTTCAGTGAAGAACTATTTTTCACCTGGACTGGATCTAATACTTAATTCACTTAACTAACTAAGCTTTACGCGGAAAAGTAGATCAGAAAAAGGGTTATATTTCACCCCATTATTACAGCGGTTGAATTAGAGTCTCTCCCGCCGACCCATGTCCTATGTGTTTTGAGAGGAACCCGTTAATCCTGACTACACAAGGCCCATGGACTTTGTGAAATATTTGATGTCATTAGTCCTATTTGACTAGGAGGGCCAGTTTATTTTCTGCACGGCCAGTTGATTTCCAAGTGAGCTGTCTCTACTCGCCAACGGAAAAGGCACTGGATTCAATTAAGTTAGCATGGTTCTGATATTGGCTGCATACTCTCTCTCTCTCTCTCTCTCTCTCTCTCTCTCTCTCTCTCTCTCTCTCTCTCTCTCTCTCTCTCTCTCTCTCTCTCTCTCTCTCTCTCTCTCTCAAATATAACTCTCATCTACCTATCCATTTATATATCGTGCTGATACGCTTATTTGGCCTATATCTGCAACCGTTGGGTCAGTATATCTGCAACCATTGGGGCAGTATATCTGCAACCTTAGGGTCAGTATATCTGCAATCTTAGGGTCAGTATATCTGCAACCTTAGGTTCAGTATATCTGAAACCTTAGGGTCAGTATATCTACAACATTAGGGTCAGTATATCTGCAACCGTTGGGTCAGTATATCTGCAACCTTAGGGTAGGGTCAGTATTTCTGCAACATTAGGGTCAGTATATTTGCAACCTTAGGGTCAGTATATCTGCAACCATTGGGGCAGTATATCTGCAACTTTAGGGTCAGTATATCTGCAATCTTAGGGTCAGTATATCTGCAACCTTAGGGTTAGTATATCTGAAACCTTAGGGTCAGTATTTCTGCAACATTAGGGTCAGTATATTTGCAACCTTAGGGTCAGTATATCTGCAACCGTAGGGTCAGTATATCTGCAATCGTTGGGTCGGTATATCTGCAACCTTAGGGTCAGTGTATCTGCAACCGTTGGGTTATTATATCTGCAACATTAGGGTCAGTATATCTGCAACCGTAGGGTCGGTATATCAGACAACCTCTCCTTTTTTGGTTTAAATATATGTAATTTCTATTAACCGCATATTGTTTTGAGCATCAAGCAAAGACGAAAATGGAAAACTAAACTTCCATACGTGTAAATTAAACATCACATGATTTCTTTGAAATGTCATATTTGTTTACGATATTATTGTATACTTTAGTTGTGACATTTTGTTACATTTACGGGCAAGCTCAATTGCACCCCACCCCACCCCACCCACACCCCACCTATTTTCAGCGCTATATAATTTAAATGAAAATCTATTCTTCGTATATCAAACAAAATATTTGCCGTCCAGAAACTAAAAAATTTGGGAAATATCAACAAGCACTTTTAAATCTCTTTGAGTAAACGGACTCACTTCTATAAGAGATGAGAATGTTCAGATCGGGTAACGAGAGACCAAACCGCTCTCTTAAAATAAACAACGCCACTATATACATAAGCCGTATGACGATGAGATCAGCCTCGTTTTGAGTTATCTCTGACATTTCGACATTTTAATTTTAGTTAAAAGAAGGACGATATTTTCATAACTGTTTGAGTTGCGGCTCAAAAATATTTTTGTTATTTGTTGCGAATCAATTGAGAAACGAATAAAAACAAGAGCATGCGTTTTTCCAAGAAAATGGCAGAAATATATAATTTCGAGAATTATTTGAAAGAAAATGAGTCGGCTGCAAAATATAATTTTATTTGTGCATGGCTGCCTTGTTATAGCCTTCTTGGTTTAAACCACTTGGTTTCAGTGTTTTAAGGCGGCGTATCCAGTAAGATTCCTTTTCTTTCGTGATTTCGGAACTCTAGTTGGGGTTATGAGTCATTGCAATGAGTGTTATATAACTGAAAGTATGGCTAGGGGAGGAAAAGTGTTACAGGCCTCTGTATAAGTTCTTTGTCAACCAATCAGATTTATAAAGGATGTTCCTTCTGTGTAGCTTTTCAGTTTCTCTAACATACTGAAGGCTACAGATCGTGCATTTGATGACATAAATTACATTCTGTTTTGCACGTTTTGTTTGGACCATGTATCTTTAGTTTTTCTCTAGGCACTGTGCTAGAAAATGCCCTAGACTCAATCGTACGTTACAAATATGTAATAAAATTGCTTGTATGTTAATTTTAAATTCATTTTTATAAAAAATTGTTTCATTACACTTTATTGTAATGATTATTTTCACAGGAATTTATATTTTTGAAAAAAGTATTCAGTCTAATTTGAACGTAAAAGGTATTACATTATCATTATTTCTAGGTTACTTTGGTTCATACATTTTGCAAACATCAAGTGAATATGACTGATTATTATCACTGTCATTTTCAGCACACGCGTTGAGTTCTAAACAAGCCTTTCTATTCTTTCATTTCCAGTGTGAGAATTTGATTGTTAGATAGGGCGATTCAATTATACGTGACAAATGACATTTTTTTTATTGCGCTGTTTGATGATTAAGTAATCCATCACAAAATGACTCTTTTAGTTGGGTTTAATACATGTATCTTAGTGAAATCTAGGCAGTCGTACTCTTACACCTCAGAGCTCAAGATGTTCTTCATTGTTGATGCCAGCTTGTTTTGAAGTTCATCTATTTTTTGGAATTTGATAACTCACTCTCTAGAAAATAACACAAATGCATCATATTTATAAAGTATCTGGGAGAAAAAATATCTATTAGAAATTTATTCTGGAGTTCTAAACAACATTACAAAATGTGTTTGTATATATATATATATATATATATATATATATATATATATATATATATATATATATATATATATATATATATATATGTATATATATATATATATATATATATATATATATATATATATATATATATATATATATATATATATGACAAAATATTGTTCTTCTTTCAGAAAAGGTTTTAATACTGTTACAATATAAAACATAAGTAATATTGGTGAATTTGACACGTAAGTAGGATCAAATATATGATATATCTCAATTCCTCTATCAGTAGCTCAACTACTACGAAAATATGAAATCTATATATCCACTTTCATTCTACACATGCATTTCAAAGCAAAAGTAACTTTATATTTATATCATTTTGATTATATATATATATATATATATATATATATATATATATATATATATATATATATATATATATATATATATATATATATATATATATATATATATATATATTCCACACACACACACACACACACACACACACACACACACACACGAAAACACCAGCTGGTCTCACCTGTAAACGTTTTTACAGCGAAGTCTACATTGTTCTTACTTATAAAGTTTGTTACCATGAAGTATTCAGTTGTTCTTACCTGCAAAATGTTTTACCAATCGGCATTCGAATCTATTCTTTTTTAAATAACATCTTAAGCGAGTTTGTTTCAGTGTGGATGGCAGAGCATGGTGTAAACCTGTCTTTATACAAAGGGATGCAAGTTTGGTTGACTTTAGCTCAGGTCGAACTTAAACGTATCGACTTGCTTAAACTTATTATGGGCTGTAAGCTTTGTTGATTCTGACTCAGTTCGATCTTAAATTTACTAATTTATTTCAGAAATATCTCAACTGCATCAGTTTATGTTATGTGAGCTAGTTTGATTTGAACCCAGGCCAGTATTTAATGTGTCAACTTGCTTCACCATCTTAAGCTTGAGCGTCATTCTGCGTATCTAAGAGGTTCATCATTCGAATCTATGGGGTTAAACATGTGTTCCTGACAGGTTCAACAATGGTAGGTTTATTTCAGGCCTGGCCCTAGGGCAAGGCGAACGAGGCAACTGCCTCGGGCCCCGCGCTTTTCAGGGGCCTTGCGCTGCTAACAGAAATCAGCTCCGCAATGCAATGTTTTGCTTGAGGCCCCGCGCTCATCGCTTGCTGCCTTGGGTCACACACATGCTGCTGGGCTTGGCTT